TTTTGTATTTGACATTTTTATTTTAGGCTGCAAAAACAAAAACAAGCAAACAAACAAACAGCAACAAAAAACTTGAAATAGGCTTGTCAAAAGATGTAAATTCATCCTTTGCAGGGAAGCAGAAGGCAGACCAGTGCAGATTATCCTCAAGGCCTCATACATCCGGCTTCATTGCTGCTTGCACTCTGCTGGATTTTGATCCTTCTTCGGGTCATAGTCTGTATCATTTTCCTCATCTCCTTCTTCTTCTCCTTCCTCATCTGCTTCTTCACCTTCTTCATCATAATCATCGTCATCATCTTCAATAGCTTCTGCAGTAAAGTAGAACACTGATCTTGGGATTATACGCTCATGTAAAAAGTGACCAATTTCAAAGTCTGCAGCAAGAATAGCTTCAGCATCATCGTCCAGATCTCCACGTTCAGGAACTTCAGGAGGTGCAAAAAAATTAAAGAAGGAATCGTTGGAAACTGTTTTCGTCACAGTACAAACTGTCCCACGTCCCTTATGTTTCTGCTTCTTCTTAATGGTTTTCAAAGTGGCATTCTTTCCTTTTTTCCAATCTATCTGGTACCCTGTACAACCCATAATTTCTGGTCCATCGAAAGAAAAGGGATCAGAATCATCTGGTTCTGACCTCATCCTATATATCTTTGTCAATACTTCATTTGTGAAATATTCACTGGGTTCAAAGTGAAATTCTAAGACGAAACTCGTAGGCTGGCCAACATCTGAGAACTTGACTTTAATGTCTTTCAAGTGCTTCAGAATAGGTTCAACATGTTCTTGAACCATATCACTGAGCAAGTCAACATTCTTAAAAACAGTCAACCAAAATTCAGGAATTCCCTTGGGATCTTCTTTTTCTTCATCCTTTTTCTCATCTTCTATCTTGGCCTTTTCTTTCAGCTCCTCCGAAATTTCATCTTCTTCATCTGCTTTCCATTCACATTCTTCTTCTGTAGGTTCATAAATCACATTAATAATCTCAAATTGCTTGTCAAATAGAGGCTGAGAGAGAACGGCATACTTCCTTTCAAGATCATGAACTTCCTCATAGAATTTGGCTTCTATTTGTGCACGTTTAACTTGAAGATTTTTGAGAGCATTCACTCGTCTTCTAACTACCCTAGGCAAGCTTTTAATGTATCCTGTTGGTGTTTCTACCAGACCATCAAGTCTTTCTTGAAGGGCTGCCAGAATCTAAGGATTTTGCATCATCTGAACAGTCAGCTGACGTGCTTTGATTTTTGTTTCTTCACCAATTTCTTCTTCTTCTACTTCTTCAACATCATCCAAATCTTGATGAACTTCACACTGTTCTTTGTTGTCAATGTCTGCCATGTTGTTAAGATCTCCAAATACTGGAGGCTAGTTCAGGGAGCCAGGTGGCCGAAGCTGCACAGGCAGTGACTCAGGCCGGCAGCGGGAGGAGCGGGAGGCGGCGCCATGAACAGGTAGCACTAAAAAAGCAGTTCCCTGTATTCTTACTTTTAATGTTTTCATTTAAGCTTAGCAGAAGTCTCTTTAGGAATGCGTTTTATTATTGCTACTGTTATAACTGTTATTTCTTCCTCAGGAGCACTTAGCATTTTTTAGATAGACATCTATCACGATTTCTCATGTTTCTTATCTTTTTAATATTTAAAAAATATCCATTTTCAGTATGCTTTATCATTTTTCTACATCACTGTTTTGAATGAAAAGTTAGTTATACTTTTTGCTGTCTATGATACTTCTAATAGCCAATGAGTTGGGATGGCTAGAACAACTGCTCTTTCATTTCAGTCAACAGTTTTTAATTTGTTACTGCTCACAGCTTCTTCCATTCCACAGGATCAAATTCAACTCAGCCTTAAGTGACTGAACCAGAGAGACCATGAGACACGAGAGAAAGAAAAAGATAGGCTTGGAGGAGCTCGTTTGATTATCAACTCAGAGTTGGATTTGTGGAACTAGAGTCTGAATGTTACTAAGAGTTTAGTACTTGTTCTTCAGGCTGCATCAGAAAAAAACAGAAGAACAAGTGGTTTTTGAGAAGAAGAAAAGGTGAATTTATCACTTTGCCAGCAAAGAAGGAAAAATGGCAGACTGACTGTTCATCTCAAAATACCAATTTTTCCTGCATATAATCAAAAAAACAGACCTTTTAAAAAGGAAGGGTCTCCTACCACTCTGGGAGGCCAAGGTGGGTGGATTGCTTGAGCTCACTAGTTCAAGACTGGCCTGAGCAAAAGAGAGACTTCATCTCTACTAAAAATAGAAAAACTGAGGCGAGAGGATCACTGGAGCCCAAGAGGTGGAAGTTGCTATTAACTATGATGCCACAACACTCTACCCAGGGTGACATTTTGAGACTTTATCTCAATAAATAAATAAATAAATAAATAAAACGGAGGGTCTATGGTTCTCGATTCTTATCATCCCCTTTCTGTCCTATCTCTGCTGAGGACAAAACCATGACCTCCACCAACCTGAGAGGTCTCCAGACCTCTCCCAGACAGTCCCATCTTCTACAGTGCAAAGAATAAAAGACACTCCTTTTCCCCTCACAATTACCACCCAAAGCAGAGATGAAGATTTTAGTTTCCAAACAGAGCAGGGAAAGTTTTAGAGACAGAAAACATTAAGACAGTTCTTCTATTACATGAGTAGTTGAATCATATTTATGGAACAGAACTAACGGCAAGATTCTAAACTTCTGCTGCTGATTTTTTTCCCTTCCTTGGGAATAATTTTGTTTGTTTGTTTCCCTATAGCTTCAATTTCTGCTTTCTGTTGTAAAACCAAATTCCTTTTCTTCAGCTAGTTTCTGTACTTACAATATCTACGGTCTTTTTTTTATTTTTTTTTAACCCAGGGATATTCTTTCCTTATATCTCTGTGCTATTATTCATTGAGCCTTCTTGAATCTTATTATTAATAAAATACCAAGTAGATTTCTAAAATATTACAACAATAAATCATTTTTAAAAGGTACATTTTCCCTTTCATTTTAGAGGTAGGAATTTTTCTTTATCAGACTGTAGTATATTTTCATGCATCCAACTTTATTTTCTTACTCATTAGTCATCCTCTAAGGAGCACATATATACCTAAAATTAAATTCTGCCAACTAATCTCAGTGAAGGTAATGTGCAATGTTCTTTTTCCTATACCTTTGAGTACAAGTTGAATTCCTTTATTTTTGGTATAGAATGGCAGTTAATAAAAAGAAAAAAGAAAACATCATCAACAACAGTATTAGAGGACAGAATTCACTTCCTTATCATCCTTCCTGTTTATGGCCAAATCTGAATTGTTAACTTGATGGGATTACATGCTATCACGCAGATATCATTCTTGGAAGGCTATCTCTTCCTCCAATCCATTGTATTCTTAGAGCTGGCTAATACCATGCAGTGTTTTCTTGTAGTTTAAGCCACAAGAAGAAGAATGAATGAAAAGTTTCCCTAACATTAAATCAATAAGCATCTAGGCATTGGCTAGGGTTCTCAGTTTAAGTTAACAGTGCTTGCGGAAAGGAGAAATCCCTTCATTGGGCTGGCCATCAGCCCTTGTTCTCGCTCATATGTCTCTGTCATCATTTTTCAATTTTCCTTTGGACTTTGAAAGGAAATTAGAATGACTACATCAGTCTTGACAGATAATCTCCATTGGTTTTTCAAACTTAAATTTCTAGTCATATATTCAATAGAATAACAATTTTGACATTAACAATATGGAAAGGCTTATAGAGTAAATATTCAATGATCCCAAGTGAAGTTTATTTAAAGAAAGTTGTGATAGAACTGCTTTAGATTGCTTTTCACCCAAGACTCAAGTGAAAGGATTTGAATTTAGGATCATGAAATCATTCCATATAATTCAACTAACCATTAAATCTATGTTTCAAATAGTTTTGTAACAGAATAAATGACCTGATGTTTCCTGTCTCTTTAAAATTTCCCTTACTCATTTTGGAAATTGAATCTGCAAACCCTTCCTTGGGTAGTCCTTGTGAGGAGCAAGGGAATGATTCTTGTTCTTCATACTACAGGAGATGGTATGAGCTGAAGGTATGATCTGTGGTAGGCTTCCCAGGTGGGCAGAGGTCCAGATATCACACAATAAGAATCATTAACTATAGCTGAATGATTATAGCCTCTCTCTCTTAAAAGCTCTGTGTTGGGGATCTCATTCTCCATAGGAGAACTGTACACTTTTCTGGGTCTGGGATCCTGGGCTAGGAACCTCTCAGACCACACATAGCACAGTTAGAGCGGAAATCAGCTGGCCTGGGATGTAGCCTGCCAGTGGTCATAGGGGAAGATTGTGGGGAAAGGGGTGCAGAGAAGAGTGAGGCCCACTGAAGGCTAATAGATACAGTATGTAAACTTCAAACATAGCTGCCTCCATAAACAGACTCTCTGGACTATGGGGTCACTTCAGTCTCTTTTTGATGGAGCCCCACCCAGAAACTGGAAGCAGATCTTTAACCCCTACCATAACAACTAACTGACCAATGTTTGTGGAGCCTGAGGGCAAGGTCACCCAATTCAGCCCTGCCCAGCTGCACTCCCTACCTGCCTCAGCTGCAATAGAGATTAAGGACTCATCTGGAAGCTCCGGGGCCCCACCACCACTTGGGCATAAGCATGCTTCTCCAAGGGACCATAATCAGTCACAGCATCCAGAAACAGCAGGTTGTTCTTTCCTAGAGGTGCCACCTACAGACAGGGAAGTCAAGCATCCTAGTCACAAATTGCCTTGTTCCATCCTAACTTTGGTAATCTTGGAAATCAAGAACCTCCTGGGAGCTGTAGGGTTCTCTTCCCAAAGCCTAGTGCACACAAGTTCTCCACCAGAGTGACCAGAGTCTAAACCATGAACACAAAATAGCATTTCAGAATTTGGCTCACTTGTGCAAGTATTAACCAATAACCAGAGAATAACAACAGAGCCCCTAAAAATGTCTTCCAACTTGAGCAAACAGGGTATGGTTGATTCGCATTGGCAAATACCACACACCATCAGTGAAAGGCCATTTCAAACTCATAGCTTCGAAGCAAAGAAGACTAAAGGGAAGGAGTATAGAGGATGCCAAGAGCCAGACAACCTCTGAGCAAGATGATTTGCAGATGGGGGGAGGACCCTCAGGCAATTCATCTGCAGGTATTCCTCAGGACAAAGAGCCCAAGCCCATTGCAATCCTTAGACACACAATCATTGTCTAATACTCCCTTCACCTGTCATGTACCCTCTTAATAAAAGGCTACTGCGGATTATGCTCAGGGCTATCCTGCAATCCCTGCCTCCTGAAAGCTTGCACTTCTAATCTGCATCATGCCTGGTTTCTTCCTGTGGCCACTGAGACCAGGGCCATAAGAGTTGCATCAAATGAGATAGAAGTAAGGGAAGGAAACAAAGAATAAGAAACCAAACATGAGGAAATACCAACAAAAAATCATAGCCAAAATTAAGAATCAGAATGTATCAAATTCGCCAAAGGATCGCAATGTAGCTAACACAAAAGATCCAAACTATAAAGAAATCATGAAAATGACAGAAATGAAGTTCAGAGCATGAATAGCAAAATAATGAAGAGAATTAAAGAAAAAGTGGAAAAACAAGAAAAGGAAATCTAAAATTGACCCAAGAATTTAATAAAAGACAAGGCAAAGTTTCAAATGACCTGGACAAAATCAGATTTTAAAGAAATGAAGGCATCACCCAGGGAATTTCCAATATAGATTATTTCAATAACAGATTAAACCACAAAAAGAATCTTAGAGGTGAAGAAAAGACTCTTGAAATTACCCAGTTATTTAAGGAGGGAGAAAGGAAGAGAGTAAAAGCAGAACAATTTCTTAGAGAATTATGGAACTATATGAAGCATACAAATATAAGCATTTTAGATACCCCTGTAGTAAATGAAGAGAATCCCAGTGTCAGGGAAGCTCTCATTGATGATATCATTACTGAAAACTTACCAAGCATCACTAAGGATGCAGACATTCACATAGTAGATGAATAACCAACCCTGGATTGACTAAATTCAAATAGAGCATCTAGACACATAGTAGACACGTAATTAACCTAGCCAAAGTCAAAATAAAACAGAGAATTCTGTAAGCCACCAAATAAGGAGCATCTAATTTACAAGATCAAAGCCATCAGGGTGATATCTTACTTCTCAGCTGAAGCATCACAAACCAAAAGGCAGTGGGCTCCCACCTTCAATTTTCTCAAATAAAACATCTACAAGCCCAGGATTCTATAACCTGGAAAGATAAGTTTCACATTCAATAGAGAAAGAAAATCTTTTACTGACAAGCAAACATTGATGAGATTTGCCACTATAA